ATTATAGGTGCTCTAATAATGAAAAAATTCCCCAAACTCGAAATATGTAAGAGGCTCATGTTTTGATCATTAAGGACAGACTTTTAGCTATACCAACCATAATTTGGTACATGAGTTCAATGCATTCAATTCTGAACTGCGTAGCATCCATCTCACTCAACGAGCACTACTTGAGAAAATTTAAAGACGGTGGGTTCTTTTTCTCTTTTTATAGAATACTGATTGCGTTCATATAGACCTTCGATTCGTCTTCTTTATGACTTGGAGGAAAATATGCTTACCCGTAAAGGTTTCTAATGAAACTTCCAGTGTTATCTGAGCTCTCAACTTTTTTTTGCTATGAACGACCGCTCTCAAAAACTGCGATCAACCATGAAACTGTGAATTTACCTTCTTCATTCATTCTACTAGTGAGCGGTTGTTTTTAGGGAGGAGGTAAGAGACTTGTCGTGTGTTCTAAGTTTATATCTTCTAAAGCTCTCGCGATTGTGAAACTCATTTCAGAAACTCAAACAACAAACAGCACATGCGTTGGCAAGAAAACTAATCTCTCACCACCAGGTGACTCCAGGTGTACTTTATTGTTCTTTCAAATATTTGTTTATTCATTGAAATTCAGTTTGTTTTATTTTTTTGAATGTATCACATTCATTATAAGTTTGATTGTATTTCTGTTGTTGACGATATCTCCTTCGTTCCTAAATAATTCGAAGCCTCAATCACATTTGATTTGAGCGTAGGCTCTTCCTCTCATAACCATATGAACAATCAACAAGTAGATAGCTCAAGGGAACAAAGATATGCTATCAAATTCATCAAAGACTTCTATTCTCGAAGAGTGGCTGAGATAAAAGACTAAGATACATCAGGTCTACTGCTTGTTTGTTTCCATTCTCAAAACATCCATATTCCCTCTATGCTCTGTTTCAAACACGTTTCGATAAGCCCCTTGTTATTTTTGAGGTGTTAACGAACCCTTTGTAACGGCAGATTAGCTTGCACAAGTGAAGAACTATCTTGAATAGATGATTCTTTCTCATTACCTTTTGTTCTTGCTACGGTTGAGTAAGTGATAGCAATGGAATCAAACTAATATTGCTAGTCATGCAAATGAGCAACTAGTATCAATATTGTATTTGATAGAAAATAATCAGAGATATTTTTGAAGCTGAATGAATTGTGATACTACATTCACGGTATATTCAATACTTCAGAGAAACTAGCTGATCTTTTTTTTCCTCATATTTTTCCTGTTTCAAGCTAGTGGTAACTACACATTCTCTTGACCAACTCACCTATGATTGAAAAATGTCCGGAAGAGTATGAACAACCACCTAGTTGGCTGATTTATGTATCAAATTCGCTACTCTTCATCACTGTTCCGTCGAGCATTTACATCTTCTACCTGATCATAGCTGTCACTCCACCGCATACAGATCGATTGTACAAGATATACTTATTGCTTTATCATTTCTTAACGACGATCTACTCTATGCTGAATGCACTTCTAGTTGGTTTCTTCATTCACGACACAGATATTCATTGTATTCAGAGTGTAACACAGTATGTACCCACATTCATCGGAGTCGAATTAGGACCATTAGGAGGAAAGTCAGCTCTTTTTTTTGCTCTCGACTTAAGCATTCAGCCTATTGTGGTAACTATAGGCTCCATCGTGCTTGTTCATCGCTTCTCTATCATCTCGTACGGAGACAGAAAGAAGAATCTATTTCAAACAATATTTTTCATTCTCTGTTTAGTAATATTTACACCTTCTATAATCATCCCTCTTATTGTTCATGCAAGGTATGATATCAAAACAACTAACAGTAAACTTCTTCAAGTAAGTCTCATCATCCAAACCATTTTAAACTCCTTTTTCCAGGATTGTCCTCACCTCGAACCTTTGACAACCTCTTACAATGTCTTATATATATATGATCCAGTAATTCTGAATATTTCGATGGGGGGTATAATATTCTTTCCTTCCATCACATTCTTCACATTCGGTCCACTGTTATTGTTTTGTCTTAAAACATTTCGAGAGAATTCAAAGTTTTTCTCCGAAACTACCCGAAAGTTACAATCTCGTTTACTTATCAATCTAGCTTGGACAGTCTCGTAAATGATATTCAAATGACTTACATACTCTGATACATTCAGGATTCCTTGTATTGCACATGGCATACCTGCTGTTGCGATTGTTATTGTTGTATTCACCAGTTTGCGCGGCAACTTATGTATGTTGAAGCTGATAGAGAATAGATAATCAACCTTTAATAGGGGTTGGTACAATAATTTGGCTACTAGGC